ATTTTTGATGATTTTATTCTACAATTATGTTTTGTGGCATTTCAAACCTTTGTTTTTAAGACAGTATTGCTACTCATTCTGAGGGATAGATATTTTGCTTTTCACAATTAACTAATTAAATAGTGTACTTATGTTTGTTTGTCAATAATCTTACATACATTTACACAATGTACGTTTCCAATACCAGAATTCATTGAGAATTTTTAAGTTCACTGAGGGTGTGATGCCAGTGCTGATGAGAACATTGACAAATCAACAATTTTTGGGATTGTTCGAATTTCTCTAAATAAATTGCAGTGCATTAAACTATTTATTTGTGAAGAGCATCCAGCTATATTTAATGTTTCACTGGTTTAATTTCTTACTTGTAATTTAAATACATTTTCATTTTTAAATGATTTTCAGTTTTGCTTGATAAATGTTTATTTTCTGTTTATTTCCTCCAATATGGAAAATATGAGTGATGACCGTTTTATCTTATTTCCCTCATATTTACAAAAAACTTTGGAAAATGTCAGTCTTTATTCTAATTTTGCAGGTTGATAAACAAGGAAGCTGGGGCTTAAAAATGTTTGCTTGTAAACATTTAACAGCCTTCACTTTTGAACTTTTCTTAAAGTGGATAGCTAGAGCTGTAAAGCTGATACTGAAAAACTTTCATGCACTTGTAGACTAAGTTGTTGTAGACTTGTAGACACATCTTTCACGAGAAGAACAAAATTTCATTGGATAATGATCAAATCTACTTTTGTAACATCTTGAAGAGCCTAGAGATCTAAAATTTTATCTCAGGCTAAGTTCAAAACTCTGTTATTTGTTACCTAAGAAAATAGAATTTAGTCTGTGAATTCAATGGTATATCAAGAACCAAAACCAGTATGCAAAATGATTATCAGTATTTTGTTCAGATAAGAAATGTCATGTTGTTAAACAGTTTTCAGCAAAACAATTGAGACAATCTGTTAAGCCTGAGCTGCTCTAAACTGCACAATGGGATGAGGCTTTATGTTCCCACGGTTATCTTTTCTACTAGCTACAATGTACAAATGAATTTTACACAATTCACGTACTCAGTACCTCTGCATTGTGACACATTATACTACTTATACAGTTGGATTTTATTTTTTACCATCCCAAGAAAAATGGCTCGTCGTTTAAGGGTAAGGACTGCAAATGCCTTGGATGAGAATCCCTAACATGAGTAAACTTCCACCAAGAGTGAAGGGGAGTCGCCAGCTATTTGCAATTCTAGGCTTAGGAATCAGGAGGTGTGCCCCATCGAAGGGAAGGACCAAACCTCCTGATTCGATGAGCATATCTTCCGATTCCTAATAACTACCTTAGGATGCTAGGAAGAAACAAACAAAAATACAAAAAAGATTCGAAGATGTTTTTTGACCGAACATGAACACGCGCTAGCATGTTGGGTAATGCATGTCTTAAGCAGAAGTCTAGGTTACAGTAATTTGTTAGAGAGGCGAGCAAGACAAAATCTTTGAATGAGTGAGGTTAAAAAAGAGCATGCGCATAAAGCTTGATCATTATTACGCATGCTCTTTGACTTCACTACGGAGATTGCCTCGCACATTCCGCTCGTTTGTCACCCAAACAACGATAATTTGGCGCATCAGTTTAGCGTAGCGCATTGCATAATGTAATTGACTATTATTGATAACACGTATCTTCATCTATCTTCGTCACTTTTACAGCAAAATTGATTTCAGACCCGCTTATCTGGTTTCATCGCTGAAAAGCCCCTTATGACATTCTAAAAACTGATGTTTGCAATCATCATCAAGAAAATGCTGTAAACGTTGCTTGTGAATTGCACAATTTATTGAATTGAAATGATTGTTGCTAATTCAGTTTTTTTGTATGGTACTGACCCGTACCAATCGCCGAAAGCTAAATTATTTATGCTTTTATTCATGTCTTGGGTTTACAAAAAAATAGCAGAGAGATCCGTGAATGCACTCGGCCGAAGTTTAGATACGATAACAGGTCTTACATGAAAGCAAGAGCTGCAAACAACATATAACTTGCTACAAAAGCTACACGAGAGCACAGACTAGAAGAAGGCCTGCATTCGCTATTAAATATTATCTGTAACTAGGCATTTTCAAATTGCAGTCGCTGGGGTCTATGAGGCCATGAAGATCCAGAAAAAGATCGGTATTCTTGCCTGTGAAGATGCACCAGGGTGGGGAGGGGAACAGGGAATCAGCAATTACATCACGAAACAGTTTGGAAGAATTGAAGATGGCGTTGCTACCGAATTCGTGCATTTTCATGCAGTCACTGGCCAGCTACCTCAAGAAGATGAGATCAAAAGCTTCGATGGATTCGTTATCTCTGGATCGCATTATTCTGTAAACGATAGACACAATTGGATCGACAACCTTATTAATTTTGTAAGGTCGTTGTATGACCTTCCTAATAGGCCCAAATTGTTTGGTATATGTTTTGGACACCAACTAATTGCCAAAGCTCTTGGTGGCAAGGTGGAAAACAATTCATCAAAAAGGTTTGTCTGGGGTACGGAAAAAATTGAGTTGGCAGCACCACTTCGAGTAAATTCCTTGTTAAGCAGAGCGTTCGGAGAGAGACGCGGGCATTTCAAAATTGCTCAGTCACACGGCGAATGGGTGTCGGTTCTTCCGAAGGAAGCAGTGTGCATCGGAAGATCATCTTCTTGTGAACATGAAGTTTTGATGTATGGTGAAACAATAATGAGCACACAAGGACATCCAGAGCTTGTTAAAGAAGCTTTGGTGGGTAACATCTTGCCAAGGCTGCTTGACAAAGGGATTTTGAATGCAGAAGAAGAAAGAGTGGCATTGCAGTCGCTTAGTGATGAAGATCAGTACAAACTCATTCAGTTTGTAAAGATGTTTTTGGTAGCCAATTGACATTGTTATGTGCTTTCTAGATCTCGACAGATATGATAAGAATAAGGAATTTATTCTACAAGTAAAACCTTAGAGATGTTTACCAAGTTTCTAGAATTTAAGAAATGTTAGAGTAAGATTGTGATTTAAATAGTTAAAGATTACAGCTTTATTGCGATGTGTTGATTGACAAGAGCTGTAACTTCATATGCTTGTTATATTTCCATCAGAAAAACCCTCTCGTAGCTCAGAGGTGATAAAACACTTTCGTTATTTAGAATCATTGTCTGAAAATCTCAAACATTACGGCGATGATGCATCAGAACTGTGACGTCTATCATTGTGACGTCAAGTTTACGTCACTATGTCTGCGGAACCGATAAGTCTTGGTCCGTTATTCAATTCAATAATCCAAATGCATCCACTCATGACTGAAAATTGTGTAAAATATTGAAAGTAAATAGCGACTTTGAATAAACAGGCTCAATTCCACCAGTTAAGCAACAAAAGGCTATTACTAGATTCGTTGGAGAGGTCCTTTAACAAAGTTAAAACAGCGACTTAGTATTGAAAATTCACTTAGTATAAATTTGTATCCTTTTGTCAGCTCGTGACCAGCACCTCTTGTGTTGGTTTATGATGAGCTTCCTATCAAATGTCATACACCCTTTGGATAATAGCTCTTGTTTCTTTACTAAATTACTGAAAATTCTTGAACAGACAAATTAATGAAGAAATTTCACTTTCGGTACTCGATTTTGGAAGAATTCTTGCAGCATAGGCGCCGACCATTAGTTTTCCCGGGGAAGCCTCAAAACTTGAAGTGGGAATATTGTCACGAAAGATAGGTTCATATCGTTTGAAAGCTGCTCGTGATGAATTCCAATCTCAATGATTGACAATTAAAAAAGAATCAAAATTATCTTATTTGATTTAAGCACCTTTTTTATTTATTCCAAAAATCTGTTCTCCATCAAAAAGCTGTGAGGGGTGGTTGAGCCCTCCTGAAGGCAAACGACATACATACATACTAAAGAGGCTTGAAACATTTTTCAATGAAAAGTGACCAATCAGTAAACGTGATTTCACTCACACCCTTTTTGATTGGCTACCATTGATTGACAGATGGCAAAAGCCGCTTTCATATCTGTCTATTGCATAAAATTCCTAATCCCTTTTTTGCGCAAATTTAATAAAAACTTCAGCTTCAAATCTATTTTAGAATTCATTTTCTGTCGGTCTAAATTGACATTGGCTACAATTCTTTAAATGGCACGAAAACCAGAATAAGGAATTTGAATGAAATTAATCCTATTTCTATTGAAATATTTCTATTCATATTTCATCAAGTCACCAATTTTGTGAACAACTTTGCCAAAGTTCAGAAAGGTCGTCTGCTGGCACTTGGTAGAAGAGCGACTCTGATTAAAAAATGAAACTGGCATGCCTAGGGTGTCAAATGCTAAAATCTAAAGGGCTGGTTAGTAAAATGGAACTCTCGGTATTGAAAAAGTTTGTACCATATGGGGCATTGACGGAATATATGGGAACGGAGGCAAATGTCAGCCCAGTTCCAAATAATGAAAAATTAAGCAAGAAAATAAGATTTTTAATATAGAAACAGATGGAAAAAGTTTCTGAAACGAAACAATGGGAACTTTATGCACATTAGACAGCACTCAAACAAAGTGAATTTCCACCACAGACATTTGGAAAGTCGAAAGTATGCATGTAGTGACGCAGAGAGCACTACAGAAATGGGAGGCAAACAAAGAAACCACTTAAACTCATCAGAGATGTCGAATGCTACGCTTATGCAAGAAGCAAAGAAATACTTGTTAGTCTCTAGCAAGCATATTTGGTTTATAGTGTGATTTTACTTAAGATTAAATCAATGAAGTGAAATTGAGAGAGAAAGTTATATTGTACAAAGAATTTACTCAGTAGAGAATTTGAAGTTGAAATGAATAGTCTAAGTAACGTTTTTGATTATTTAGAAATTCTAATGGTTTCTCGTGCAGCATGATCTTATCGTTGTGGAGAAGTTTCCATAAAGATCTCACTACACAGACAGATGATGATAGCTCGATAGCTGTTCAAATCGACAGGGTTGTCTTTGCAACGAGCCTGCCTTGCCATGCAGCAGTTAAAGAATTTTATAGTTTACAGTCTAGAGCCTTTTTGACATACTAACTAGGGGCAGTTGCCCCTCCAGCCCCAGTGACCCTACATCATTCATACAATAGAGTATTGCCCTCCTCTTTATATACACAAAGGCTTGCTTCCAAAGCTGGTTTCTCTATGAAAAGGCTACGTTATTAGTGAATCGCCCTTTCATTTTTAAATCCATACGGTACTAGGTTTCCTCTGTATCTTCAAGCACCATGCCAGTTGCACTCGATGACAGTTTGATCAGCCCAGTCTACTCATACCCTGATCGTCTGGGCAAGGACGTAATGGCAAAGAGCACAATCTCATTTTGCGGCAAAAGATATTCGATTTTAAGAACAACATCCCCTCTTTTTAAACGGATGCAGCATTAAAGGACAATGAAATAAGATGACGATTATTTTATTTTTGAAACCTAAACCCCCCACCCCACCCCTTCATTTAGTTCATTTTCGAAATAACGGACAATCACTGCCAAAAGTACTTGGAACACCAAGTAATTTGCGTTGTTTTTTATATTTTTCAATTCTTTTCCCGGATACTGCTATTTCCGCACCCTCGTCCCCCCCGAAGCAATGTTGATAGTTTAGTGAAATATCATAAAAGAATATCGCAAAAGAAAGTGCTCCCCAAAGTCCCAGCCCATTTCAAAGTAAACCAGCATTTTTCCATGGGGGAGAGGGGGATGACTGATTTTGACCTTGGAAACTGACGTCATTGTTCCAAGACTTTTGACAGGCATTGGAGAAAAGATTCATTGGAGTTTTTAAGAGCTTTTTGGGCAGGAACAAAGTATAGAGGTACCAAAAAAGGGTCTTCTTTGTTTCCATTTCAACCATTTTCATTGAAGTGAGCATTACACTAAAAATAAATATACATGGTTGATGTTGGTCAGTAGAATCCGAAAATATACCACTAGCTGATGAATGAGTTTAAAGTGACAGCCCTTTTGCTTTAGACACCCGATGAACATAGCTGTGTGGGGAGCAGAGGGCTATTACCCCCAAATAATTGCCACAGTACACGAATTGAGAAGCAACAGAGTGGGCTATCCGGACAGCATGAATTTCATAGGACACTGGTAGACTCACATTCCCCTTCTTCTGAGCTAAGGGGCCACAGCCTTAAAAGCAATAAAGACATACAAAATCAGGAAAAGCCACTTTTTACTTCTATCAACAGTGATTAGATACAGCGTTCACCATATCTAATGTATGGATGTATTTGCACGTGCTGATATAAGCTGCTTTTCCTTTATATAAATATTGAAGAAAGTTGCAGAAATGAATGACTTTGAGAAGGTGCAAAACAGCATGTCCAAGGCAATCTATTTTTACAACTGTAGCAGCACAACCAATATACAACAGGTTTCGCGGGAAAACTGCGGGGTACCCGCGAAATGTAATATATGTGACCCTACCTGCCACAACCAGCATGTGAAGATTTTCTTTGTAAAATGCATTCCAATGGACATGTAAGATCGACAAATAGCAAAAGATCAATTAAAAGTTAAGAGAAATAACGAAAGAAAAAGATGCAATGACGGAGATTGACGTAAGTTTCTAGATGTATGAAAGAAAATTTATACAAAATAATTTTGTTCTTCCTTCTATAGTTGAATTATATTTCATAGCAGTCACTGTCAAAAGAAATGATCAGGGAATGATCTTTAAAACTAGCTATTAAGCGAAAATCCTGTATTGAGGTTTGGAATATCAACTGAATATAAGCCAAAAGAGACGCGGAAAGGGTAGGATCTAGTCATAGATCGTGATACTTGTTATTATTGCTTCATAGTGATAATAAATTGGTATTGGTATTATCAGTGACGCAATACGTTGATCGCTTGATCATCGTGGCAAGCTTTTCATCCCAAGAATTCATTTAAACGCCTTCATTAAATTTTTATTGTTAGGCCTATAGCGAGGCTTGTTTATTTTAAAGTTATTGGAATTTTATTGCTTGTTTTTGGGTTTTTTCATGGAAAGTATACATTCGATTTGAGAACACATTTTAAACTTTGTTTCTTTCGACCAACTCTCTATCGAAGCAAAGTCAAATGACATTGCCCATAATAAAATGCTATAAGATCATACAAATTGGAGCCCAAGCAAAAGTATTTTTTCTTAGGCTTTTGCTTGCCAATAAACCACGCAAGAGGTAAAGAAACAATCAATGTTTAATTATTTGTTGCGCTTTTCAACTTTTTTTCGACAATGCTTAAAGTACCTATGAAATGAAATTTGACAAGTTTAGATAAAGACACACTTTTTATAAGCAAAATTTGCTGATTTCAATGATATATGTTGAGGTAATTTTTTTCTTGCGGAACCGTCCAAAAATTCAGGTTGAATATCCCATTTTCACGTTTTCGACTGTGACAAAGTGCCGTTATCTGTGACGTCCCAAAGATTGCAAACACGGAAGCAGCTGACGTTGAACTATCCAATCTTTTTTAGCGCATAAAACTGTCCTTCTTTGCAAAGTTTCATACTGTTGTACCAAAGTACGACTGAAATACGATAATACCGTCTATTAAGTAAGATCTTGGGCGGTGTACCCCAGTCTAAAAATAGAACAAGGGGGCAATTTTCAGATTGACTCTTTATCCTATCATTTTCTGCGTATCAGATTGTTGTCTATTACAATGTTTCTTGCTACTGTACCTTCCTTTGGCAGATATATCAAAATAACATCGTTAGTGGAGTAATGCGGTCTTGAGCCAAGAACCCCAGTCTAAAAATAGAAAAAAGGGCAATTTTCAGTTATGTTCTATACCCTAACTTTTGTACCGTATCAAACTGCCCCATGTTTTGTTCTACTATATCTACTTTCAGGAGAGATATTGTAATAATGCCGTTAGGGGCTTGGGGCAAAGAGCCTCTGTCTAAAAATAGCTAAAGGGGGCAATCAGTTAGGTTCCATATCCTATCTTTTTCAGCGTATCAAACTACCCCTTTTTGCAAAATTTCATGCTGGTATCACAATTTGCAGAATTGTTTGACTAACAGCCCTGACTAAGTGGTATGGTGTGTTTACTGTGAACTGCAAACCTTGTGACGTCATTGATTCTTATGCTTTGTCACTCGCACACATTGTTTTTAAAACCCCAAAAACAAACTTTCCCGTGCAAATTTTCGAGTCAATTTTCGTTTTTTTTTGCAACAACATATGGAAGTTTCAATTTCTTTCAAAAAAACTATATGTGCACTACACCCAAACGTACTGGCTGAAAAATTCTACCTGTATTAATATCAAGCAAGAATTGTCAATTACTCGAAACATCCACTCAATCTGCAGTTTCGAGAAGAAGCTGGATTATACCCATATTCGGTAAATTTAGGGGTTTGATAACTAGCTTCACATATGTCCTGCAAAGCAACCTTTTAAAAGCTGGGTTACGAACGGGCCATTGTCTACCTTTCAAGAGTGGAATTTTAAGGTACAATAAATGCTTGCAGTGAAAGCAAATTTTGCCTAATATTTGTAGAGCAATGATTTTGGAATGCAGACTGATGCTTTCCCTCTTCGGGTGCAGAGAATGACGAGTTATTCTTGATTACGCACGTTAGTAAGGTTGAAAGCCAATCGATCTTCTTAAATTTAAACACCCTACCCTCCATTGATACCCGAAGAGCAAAGAACGGTCACATAGAAAGTGCAAAGATATTCTCTGGTCTTTTAGGCTTCTTCCTGTTTTATCAGGTCACGTTGAATTACGAGCTTAACTCCAATTCTAATTTACCCAAGCTTAGTATTTTTATTAGATATATAGTCAGTAATCATATCAGGCAATCCAGCAGTATAGTGCTATCAGAATTACAATGGGGGCTTTTGCGCAAAATGTTACAGACAACAATAGCACAATTAGTGAGCATTAACAAAGCCCATAGCACTACATGAGGCCAATGATTTATTTAAATCCCTAGAACCAAGAGGACTGGTATAGGGGTACAAAAGAAGCCTACCACATATTGAGCAAAGTTAGAAGATGCACAACATTTCAAATCCAGCTTACCTTTGTGAAAAAAGTGTGTCAAAGCAATTACGGGTCCCAGCTAAGGTGGTGGAGACAACGCAACTACGCTTCGATATTAGAGTATCGAAGTGTAACGTCAACAAATAATTTCTTAATTTTGGCCACATAATCTGAAAAAACGGCATAAAATACCTATCAACATGCGAAATCAGCTAGATATGTCTAGAATCAGATGAGATATGGCCAGTGAATGAATTGAAACGAGCTAACAGATTACTGGAACCAAGATCAGATTACAATGAAATGATGGGGAAGATATCGTGCTAATGTGGCCAAATCTCAGCCAGTTTTTAACACACTCTACTGATTTTGCACATTTAGAAGTGTTTTATAATGCTTTTTGGTTTTCAATTTCAAAACTGCAAAATTATAAAATTAGATTTGTGTAACCTCATCACTTCGGTACTATTGTAAGAGCAAGTAATCTAGTCCCTTTTACATTTTCAATTTCAAGATCGTGATGCATTTTAAGGGATAGAGTGGACAACAGATTTGTTTACAATTTCCACTTACATCCGTTACAGATATAGCGTCAGAATGGGCAAATACACAATGACACACTGACCACACGGGTAAAGATAATTCCTACTCAAGAGATTTTGGCAGTTTTTCTTATGGTATCAGGCCTGTCTTTGTATTCAAAAGAAATTTCAGAAGGATAAGTGCAATTTGCGAGCCTTGTGGAACAACAATCAAAGAAAAATGATGTTCACCAAGTAGCAGTTGGTATACCAAGAAAACCAAAAATGCAACGCAAAATGCATCTTCTTAAAGTTTTGGACAAAACTAATGCTATTTTACCAATTGGATTGGGCTGGGACAGTTGCAGTTTATTTTTAAACTTTCCACTTCAAATCAGAGGCTTTCGTATCTTAAACCGAACTTGAGGTAATAAATAGGACGTAGCTTAAAAAGGGGCGACAAGTTTGAAAAATATGTGCAAACCATCTGAATAGCTAAAGTATCTTAAGAACTAATTGTGTCTCAGCCACAAATTGAACACAAGTCTTGAACTGTTATTGAGGTCAAATTTTTGCGTACGAATGTATGGCAAGCCGTAGTGGACAAAAGGTTGTTGAAAAAGAAACCATACGTTGAGATTTATAGCACAAGGGTCCAGAACTATTGACATGTGGTTGAAATCATGATTGTTAGTGATCAATTCTTGAAGTGTTGCTTCAGTTCTCCTCCAGTAGCCTTGAGTTTCAAATCATGGTGTCTGAGTTCTTCGAATTTGTAATGTCCGGACATTTCAATTTCGAAAAAACTCGGACACTATAAGTTCGAAAAATCTCGGACAGTTCAATTTCGAAAAATCTCGGACACTACAAATTCGAAGAATCTCAGACACTTCAATTTCGAAAAATCTCGGACACTACAAATTCGAATAATCTCGGACACTTCAATTTCGAAAAATCTCGGACACTACAAATTCGAAGAACTCATAACACCACCGCAGTTCTACGAAAATTTACTAAAATGTAACGTGGAAGATTGGCTTGGAGAGTGCAGACATTAAAAAATTAACAGTAGGATCCTTCAACCTTGATGTGAAAGATGTCCCTTTTGACATAAACGGATCAAATTATTTAGGTACAAAACTCTATATGTCTTAAAAAAATGAGCTAAAAACAAGTAGATAATTTAAGTGTAAAATTGTCCTTAGATATATCATAAACAGTGGCGTAACGAAGTTTAGGGCGCCTTAGTTCAATGAAAATATTTATCCATCTTTACAACGTAGCTGAAGTTCAGAATGTTTTTTAACCATATACCTAGTTTCCCTCAAGTTAATGAAAAAATAGTCATTTATACACCTTTCTTTTGCGTCGACGAGCTCTAAACTATTGGATTAGACCTTCTTGCAGTCCATAAAGGCCCCAGGTGCCTCCGTTACTCCACTGATTATTATCAGACATCTGGTTATAAACTGTATTTATATGGGTTTGAATCAAGAATAGTTTTTAAAAACGGCTTGTACTTTGGGTAAAATTCCTCTCTTATTTGCGATCAATAACATAAAAATATAAGAATCAACATAGCCATGGAAAAGATCAGGGCAGAAACAGAAAGCTGTTTGTAAAAATGTATTTTGTATCACTTTTTGTGTTTAGAGAAAGTAACTGAATTTCCAAAAATCAACATAGCCATGGAAATTGTTTTCTGGGTCTTAATTATTTGACTACTTTTTGAAATTCGTTTTATATAGGCGATCAACTGAGCCATCCAAAATGCTGTGTCAGGTTATTGCAGTCATCATTGCGAGCCTTCTGGTTCAACCCGTCTCGTCTCAGGGCAAGTACACAATCTGCAACCCAAATTTTGAATTCTGTGAATATTGGTTGGTACTAGAAGAAAGACTGACAATGGTGCACAACTCTGACCTGGTTTATGGTCATGGGGGTTTTCTCTATAAATATCACGATCATTGGACAAACGCAACCAGCACTGTGCCTCCTGATGAGGTCATCATCACTGATGGAAATCAACGAATGGTATTGGCCTTCAACAACTCCGTTCCGGGTCCGCCTATTATCATTTACGAGGGGCAAACTGTAAGTAATCTGTTCTGGTTTTTGGCTATGACATATTTCTAAATATTATAGTTATATGCACTGCTTATCAAAAACAGCCTATTCCTCTCCGCTGCGCTGCATTCACATCCATTCCACATCAACCATCAACCAAAAATTTTTAGTTCATATACTTTTGCTCTAGGGCCCCGTATGCCGGGGCGAAATATTAGCCATCACTGATTTGTGTGTTTGTTGTTGTTTATCCTCGTCGCGTTGCGGTGTTCCTTATATACTACTCCGGTACACTGACGGAACTTTCAGAAAGAAGCTTGCAGCTCTGTCATTTTATTCTCCTAAATTTACTTGCTCACTAAATTTAAATCCATTTTTTCATTATTCAACTGTTTTGCCTTGAATTGTTTTGTTTTCCTCTGACCAAAAAAGATTACAATTTTACCGGCCTCTGGGTGAATTAATTCAAAATATTTTCCATGAACCGTATTGCTTTCTGATAAGTACAATGTGAATTTCTATAGCAAAAATTTGTATGATATTCTCAAAAAAACTCTTTTTTATCTCCAGCGCATTGAAATTGACCCTTTGAATCTAACAAAATACAGTGATAAGATAATTTCTAAATCTCTAAGAGCCAGCCCAAGATCTTTGTGTTAGATCTTGTGTAGACATAATATATGCCGGGGCGAAATATTAGCCATCACTGATTTGTGTGTTTGTTGTTGTTTATCTTCGTCGCGTTGCGGTGTTCCTTATATACTACTCCGGTACACTGACGGAACTTTCAGAAAGAAGCTTGCAGCTCTGTCATTTTATTCTCCTAAATTTACTTGCTCACTAAATTTAAATCCATTTTTTCATTATTCAACTGTTTTGCCTTGAATTGTTTTGTTTTCCTCTGACCAAAAAAGATTACAATTTTACCGGCCTCTGGGTGAATTAATTCAAAATATTTTCCATGAACCGTATTGCTTTCTGATAAGTACAATGTGAATTTCTATAGCAAAAATTTGTATGATATTCTCAAAAAAACTCTTTTTTATCTCCAGCGCATTGAAATTGACCCTTTGAATCTAACAAAATACAGTGATAAGATAATTTCTAAATCTCTAAGAGCCAGCCCAAGATCTTTGTGTTAGATCTTGTGTAGACATAATATATGCCGGGGCGAAATATTAGCCATCACTGATTTGTGTGTTTGTTGTTGTTTATCTTCGTCGCGTTGCGGTGTTCCTTATATACTACTCCGGTACACTGACGGAACTTTCAGAAAGAAGCTTGCAGCTCTGTCATTTTATTCTCCTAAATTTACTTGCTCACTAAATTTAAATCCATTTTTTCATTATTCAACTGTTTTGCCTTGAATTGTTTTGTTTTCCTCTGACCAAAAAAGATTACAATTTTACCGGCCTCTGGGTGAATTAATTCAAAATATTTTCCATGAACCGTATTGCTTTCTGATAAGTACAATGTGAATTTCTATAGCAAAAATTTGTATGATATTCTCAAAAAAACTCTTTTTTATCTCCAGCGCATTGAAATTGACCCTTTGAATCTAACAAAATACAGTGATAAGATAATTTCTAAATCTCTAAGAGCCAGCCCAAGATCTTTGTGTTAGATCTTGTGTAGACATAATAAAGTCGGACTTTATTTTGAAAACATCGCAGAAATCCAAGATTCTAAGCCGCTTAATCGCAGTAACAATTTGCATTTAAAACCAATATCTGAGAATTTTCGAATAAAGTATTCTAACCGAAAAACTGTAAAGCATTTTTAGCTAGAGCCAAAAACTTTTTGATTAATCTCCAAAATTTCTAAAATCAAATCTATAAGAAAAGCGAAGGTTATGTTTTCAATCTCTACTTAAAAATATCCACTATCCTTCTTTGTAACTTCATTCGACATAACTGCAACTTCATTCCACTGCCAATACTTCAAAAATCACCAAAATCATCGACATGGATTTGAACAAATGAAGGTTGCATTCAAGTTCTGTTTCGACTTGAAAAGTCCCCCCAGTTACTCTTTCAGGTTATCTTCAATGTATTCTTCACGTCAAACAAGGCTCAGAATAGCCCTCGGGGCAGGGTAGTAAATTGCCTGGGAACCCCTTCTAACACTCTCAAGATGCTTTCCCCTTTGTTTTCAGCTCTTGCATTTCTTCATACCCTTTCAACCAATCAGGTTTCCTTTCAAAGCATTTACAAGAAGACATCAAGACACAGGTCCCTTTGACTGACAAAAAATCTAAACAAATTTTGCTGTCAAACTTTTATATCTCATCTTCCTGGCAATATAAATTTTTCCTCTTTTGAATAATAAACTGTCCCTTCACGATAATCCATACTTTACGGTTAATTTTTTGTCATTCCATCTTTCAATGGATCAGGGAATACACCTCCAAAGTTATCATACACTTCTATGAACTGAACTACAGACCAAGTAATCAATTAAAATGCCTACTGGATCCTAATGCCTACTCCATAGAGACAAAGTGACGTCATGCGTCATAGAGAAATGACATCCACTGCTAAATACGATAACCACCACTGCACAAAACCATTCACATTTATCTGTTTTTCGGGGGTGTTTGTCGTAACAGGAACACCCAGAATTGTAGCTCAACGAGTCAAGTTGCAACAAAATTGCGAATCTTATAATGCAACAAAATAAGCTGTCTGACTCTAACTGTATTATCTCAAACATCTGTTTCTTTTTGTTTTCAGGTTGTAGTTCATGTCAAAAACAAGTTTTTAAGCGATAGTGCTGCTATACACTGGCATGGTATTCACCAAAAGGGCACACCTTGGATGGATGGAGTGGCCTACATAACACAGTGTCCCATTGGACCTGGACAGACATTCACATACAAGTTCAAGGTACAATTCATTTTTTGAGTTTTGCTAATTCAATTCAGTCATAGTTCTACAAGTTGCTGTAGCTCTATCTTTCTAGCAGAAAAAGGCTGAAACTCCTTGATTATAGGAAAGTTCTATGCACACTTTCTAATCTACCTTATAAAATGGTGCAAAACGTTGAGAATCTAAGAAACCCAAGGAAAGGATAGATTTCTGTTGACAATATTTGAAGGTTGGAGAAAACGTCCTAAATTTGGAACTTTAGAACATCTTGAGGTAAACCCACTTTTATTTTCCAGTTGCCTAAGGGAGAAATGAATAGAATAGAATGGAGCTACCAACACAAAAGCTCGATTATAAAAACCTTACTAAACACGCAATCAATTGTTGTACCCAATTAAACATAATGATATAGGAGCCGAATAATGTAACCTTTTGAATATAATATTTGTTGTGGCTGTTCATAACACGACAAAGAATGAAAAATACCCATGTTACATTCAGCTTATGCCATTTGGCGTAAGTTTTTAAGTGAATGGTTTTTGTTGTGTTGATAGGCTGAGCCTAAAGGAACATATTGGTACCACTCTCATGTTGGTGCTCAACGAACAAATGGAGCTTATGGTGCATTTATTGTGAAAGAAAGACCAAAGGACGGAATTATCGAGCCTCGTGACATGGTCATGACAGTTGGAGATTGGCATCACCATGATTCATCAGAGGTGAGCAAGTTTAAAGAAGCGGCCTACCAAAACATTTCATACGTCTTCTTAAAATTTACGTACTGTAGCTACAGTAGTCATAAATAATCGTGTGTGCTTTGAATTTAACGAATTTATTGAAAGTAGCAAGGACGCTGGAGCAAACTTTATTGTGAAGGGGCTAGCGAAAGTAGTGAAGCTTCCAAGTATCGTTTCTTGTTCCAACAAGCCTAGCCCACACAGTAGATTGTTGTCTCAAAGGAAGAGGATTTTTTCTTTCTCTAATGAGCCTGTGTCCTCACACAGGAATGATCTCGGATTGCCCCCTTTTTTGCTATGGTTTTCCAGTGAACGATGTGCTATCTTCTTTGGCGGGACAGAGCTCAAACAAAGTCAAGTAGACGAAAAATATACATTTGATTGGTTTTGAGAGTGAAAAGTCTGTCATTTGTACGCTTGTCTCCGCGCAAAAGACCAAAGACAAATGGCAGTATAAAAAGGGATTCGGAGCTTGATTAAGGCCACGGAAAAATAGTTTTATATCATGTCCTTTTTACAAAGTAATAAACATAAATTTCAAAACAAAATTGCATCCATTTTTAAAGGAATCAATGGGACATATTTTGATAGAGTAGGGCCCTCTTTTTTAAAGCTGCAACTTTTTGCTTCCATTGCATCTAAAATTTTAGCTGGACAAAAAATAACTAACTGAAAAAATAAGAATGTTTGAAAATATGCTTATCTTTAGAGCATAGGTGATGATAAAGATTTTACAAAATTTTCAGATTCTCTGAAAGATTGATATCGTGAAGTTTAATGGTTAAAAATACATACAATTACCAATATTTTAAGTAAAAAGGGCTTAGCAACAGAATTTTGTACCTTTTTTGAAATTGGCAGTGAACAGAGATTTTGTATGCAACAGATCTGCCCAAAATGGATATCATTATTAACAATACGTTTTGAAACCCATTTGGTTGATACACACATCTATTTATTTAGCATAGAAAATAAATATTAGGGAAATGTTTGCTACGCAATGTTCTTACATATGCTGCAAAAGGCGTGGCAGGCAAGAAATCAGTACATGCTGCCTTGAAGTTACTGTCATACCCATTTTTCTGAACAAGTAATCAGTAGTACCATGAATATAGGGTCTCTCTTGCTCTGTACGTCCCTATAATTGCATGATATTTTTACATTTCAGGTCTATGTTAGAATGGTGTACGGAAATTTCATTGATAATAAAAAATACAAAACGACCACTACACTCGACGGTGGAAAATTCAGTGGGGTGCCGTGGGTGTCTGGAATGATTGAAGGGAGGGGCAGATACTATGACCCTGAAACAGGTAAATGATTTTCTATTTGTTAGATTTAAAAGGAAGTTCTCTTTTATTTTATCAAAGAAGTGGCATATGACTTTTAGGTTTGAAGGCCTTTAGTGTAAATCATATTTTTCTAGCGCTTTACGTGATAACTTCATATTTGTGAACTGTGATTGCCTCAACTACTAGATTCTATCCTAAGAAAAGTACGAAATCTCCATTGCATGGTGACGTTTGTTTTGTAAAAGATATGTGTACGTTTTTTGTATAAATTGAGCTCTGCAATGTTTCAAAAAGAGAATAAGAGCTGGTTAAATCCAGTGCATTTTCTACTTCTCTGCATATTTCCGTATAATGTATCTAAATAACCATCATGTGCAATATACTAAGATTAAAATTTGAAACTGCACATGCAAATTTATATTTTTATATACCTTTAATTAAGCTCAGGTATGCAAATCTCATGACAGACATGATTGAAGTTTATAATCAAACTGCAAAAGAAGTGCTCTCTCTGTAAATGTTCCAACTTTTGTTTTCATTAGCAGAATCGGTAAAGTCCACGCACGACTGTACAACACTAATTATGTATGCGGCCCTTGAGTATTGGCGAAGTGGTGTCAAATACTTTAGCCTAAATACTATAGGAAAATGGAAGCAAAGCTCTTTTTAGTATACAACATAGAATTAAATATCTTTTTTTACTGTCAGAATTTACAAGAATGAATTTACCCTCGCCCCCACTCAAAACAAAATCTTTACATTGTTGAAAAAACCGCGAAGGAAATTATTTAAAAAACTAGAGGCTCAAGACCCCAATTCCCCCACTAGGGGCCCATGACGTTTTTTACTCTTGAGATGCCGTGATTATGTTAGGTTTTCTCCATTCAATCAGTAGCAGTTTAAAATAAATTCGTATTTTTTCAGGCACTTAATGACATAAATTTTGAAAAACAACATAACTTTGTGCCACATACCTGGTGTTGTTAAAGCTGGAACATATCTTGCATTGGTTTGATGACACGTGATCTGACCCTATAGATGGAACAAATATCAGTTACCATCGAGATATTTTCTGTATTTTTAGCAATATCATCTATGCTTGTTCCTAAATAGCTGGTAGATATAAGGCGATGAAATGCAAGGTGTTGAAATTAATGCTTTAACTAGTGAGATTACCATTAACCATATCAATATTTTCAACTATTTAAGCAGCAACAAAATTTTACGTTTTGATTTCTTACAAGCAATTTATGTTATGCTTAGATATTTAAAATTGTTGGCAAGTTTTTTATCTTGATCATTAAAAGAAGGTCAATAGATTTTTCAGACCAAAAAGAAACCCAAGTTACTCTCAAAGTCCAGTTTCTTTATTTTTTCCGGACAAAAGCCCTTTAGATCTAAATAAATGCCTCAGAAAAGCGCTGAAAAAAGGGGGGTTTGGGTATTGCAATTAGGTATTTCTTCGTGTTATTGCCTTTCCTTTACGTTCATTGACTGGGTGAACGCAATGTATTCTGGGTCCTGCTTATACTATTAATGACATAACTATTCTAGCCTTAATAGATGATAGCCATAAAACAGAAAGAATGTTTATGGCTTGTTGGATTTCTCTGCATTGAAAGTTTATTATCAAATGTGATTTTAATTTTTTTACCCCAAACAGGTATTCCTAATGAAGTTCCGCTAACTTGGTACAATGTTAGCAAAGGAGAGACAGTACGTTTTCGAGTGATAGGCGTTGGAGCAATATATCCAATGAGAATATCGGTGGATGACCACAATCTGACAGTCATATCTTCAGATGCATTTGACATTGAGCCCATAGTCGTAGAATCTTTCATTATCAACCCAGGAGAGCGATTTGATTTTCTGTTAACAGCCGATCGACCCATTGGCAACTATTGGATTCGTGCAGAGAGCATGGAGGTAGGTTCTGTTTCTTTACGACTATATTTCTACTATGTTTGCGGTAGACATTCTCCAAAATGTCTGACTACTATGACAAGGAGCTTTTTGATGCTATGGAATTCTGTATGCTTTAGCAAGCAGAGACTCTCTCCGACAGGGCCGTCGCTAAGCACTTTCACTTAGGGGGGTGACAGTCACCAATTTGCCAACAAATAAGGGCGTGGCCTAAGATATTTCAATATGGGGGTGCTGCATTTTGACGCAATTGATTTTGTTTATCAGAGAGGATGTTCTCGTTAATCAATCATCGCTTCAATTTTCGAGTGACTGTAGGTACTTAGGTTTCGAAGGCCCTGAAACAAAACCAAAAGACGCGGTCCCCCTGCGAGCGGAGCGAGCAGGAAATTTTTGCGACCACGCCCTTTAGATTGTCTTGCATTTCAGAATATTTCTTGCAGTCATTTCTTGCAATCGTTTAGAACTTTTAACTATTTTTAGGCATGACTACGTTTCATTGATTTCAATCTTAAAATGGAGTTAATCACTCCATAAGGCCCCCTCGACCTCAAAGCCCTGAGGCACTTTGCCCCCTTGCTCCCCTCGGCAGCCCTGCTTACAGTGGCTTCCAGTACCTCTAGGATCAATGTTCAGAGTTTTTCAATAAACTTTGACCCTTCCCTATACCCTAAACCCTAAACTTTAGGTAAAAATTAGGTCGCCCTGGATATTGGACATTAGATTCTAGACTCCGGCTGCCGAAAGGGAGTCATTTAAAGTTTTTGGGGGACATTTGCCCCTCCGTGACACCCATAGCGCTAACTTTACCTGTTTTGAAATGCCGAGGGCTTTTGGGCAATATTTTGAAGTTCACATCCTCATCTTATCCCAATTGATCGCTAAAGCTATTGCTTTGGAAACATTGAAAGCAAAACCCGACAAAACTCTACTTTTAGAAAATTTGGCGCCAAGAATTTTCTTGGGGGGGGGGGAGGGCGTTCTATAGAACTGCTTTTAGAGAAGCTTTGAGTTAGGAATTTTATGATCTATTTAACTTGCAAAAGTTTTATAACCATCTTGCTAGACAACGCATTTTTTTAAACAAAGGTTAGGCAATTAAATTTTCAAACAATCTATTTTCAGAACAATGTTGTCAACCACACGGTCGAGGCTATACTGCATTATAGAGAGGCTGAGAAAAATGAGCCGACATCAAAGCGAGCCAAATGCACCCAAGAAAACATTTGCGTTGTGCTCAATTGCCCTTTTCTCTATTTTCCGACCGGATATTTTACAAAGTGCCTTACATTCCACGACACCAAGGCAAAAGACCCTGAACCGACTCCGGTCTTCGAGGAGGGCGATTCGCAAGAGGTCTTTTTGAATTTTCATTTTCCGGGAGTCAATGTAACACCAGGTGCGGTAAATGGCCGCAGTTTCCAAATGCCGGGAATTTCCTCACTGACCCAGTCCGATCAAATTGCTGAAAACTTCGATTGCAAGAATAAAAACTGCGGCGTTGACAAAGTATGTTTCTGCCACTTTGGACTTGATTTACCATACGACAAGACCATTCAAATGGTTTGGATCAATATGGGTCGAGGAAAGGGCTGGTCGCACCCCGTCCATATTCACGGGCATAGTTTCTACCTGCTGAAAATGGGATACCCAGCGTATGATCAATCAACCGGTCAATTAACTGCGGACAATCTGGACATTGATTGTGGTGGTGATCCCAAAATTAACTTCTGCAATGAAGCAAGGTGGGCTAGACCTGAATGGAGAGGTGGAAATATTCCTGGACTTAATCTGAAAAATCCACCAAGAAAGGATTCAATCATTGTGCCCACTGGTGGGTACGTTGTTTTAAGGATACGGTCTGATAACCCTGGAAAATGGTTCTTGCATTGCCATATTGAAGTGCATGCATTAGATGGTATGGCAATGGTTGTAAACGAGGCAGTAGACCGCAGTCCCAGTCCGCCTAAGGGATTTCCCGTTTGCCAGCACTTTTATAATGATCCGAGCAGAGACTTGCAGTTCATTACAGAAGACGAAGGTAAGATTTTTTGAAATTGTGCTTAGCTACTATGCTTCTTTACTAAGCATTTTATTAAACAAACGCCTTAGAGTTTAAATGAGCAATCGAGAAGATTTGCTATTAAAAAAAATAATTATTTTTTTCCAAACACTCTAAATTCGGCTAGAGCTAGTCACCTTTGAACAGTTACCATTGGAGTGACAGAAGCCGCTTCATATCCTATTTTAAATCTACTTGAAGGATATTTCACAGTTCTCTAAAAATTTTCACAGTTCTCTCATAACATTCGGGAAGATTCCTAAACAACTACAAGGGCATTGATTGCGGCCCTGTTTGATTGAATATGCCATCGGCAAAATTTTTCAAAGCAAAGTCATTCGATGCACTCAATACATGCTATGCACAGAACTGCTTAGATTATACATTGTGACGTCAGCAAGCCCAGTCACTAGGAACGGAAAGTGGCAGGCATTCTAGAAAGCCTAACAACTAAAGAGAGCTTTGCCAGCGAAGAAAATAGCCTGTATTTGGATAAATTCGTAACCTTGGGTTTATCAGACCTGATATCTCAAAATCACGCTTCTAAAACTTTGCTATATTTTGCAACAAAAATTTAAATGCTATGCTGATTGCTTAATGGATGTTAAGAAAACCTACTACTATGTTGACGACTTTATATGTGCCAAAACTTTGTCTCAAAAGTCAAGGTTGCAGAAATGTTAAGTGTGCTATACGCTAGAATACACATTATTTCAATATCTCTAAATTTGGTTATCTTCTGAAATTTTTAGATCACTAGCGATTTTTAAATAACAGTTTAGTTACTTCAAATATAATTACTTTTTAACATTTCTTAAAAGATTGAAACGATTCATCACAGAGATTTCTTTAGACATACAAAGAGAATATCAACAATTTGTTTACAGAGTTAATTGAAAGTTCTTGCTATAAGGACAAAAGTTTCTCGCCAGTGTACTTTCTCTTTATACTTAAATTTAATTGTTTCTGTAATCACTCTTTGCATCCAATACATAGTCGATATGGTACACAAAGCAACAGTAGACAAATTTCCTTTTGAAAAGCACCTCTGAAAGTGAAATCGCAACACTTACATTTTTCGCGACTCTAACATAATGTCATAACTCTTTTGTGATGTCGCATGTAGGAGTATTTTTGTAACGTCGCAGCTCTGTCTTAATGTCCCAACTTTTTTGTGATGTCGCAACTTTTACGCATGTGATTTCTCAGCTCGTTTTAGCTAATTTCACTGTTGTACTGCATTCTGTAAACTAGTACGTAACAGTTCACTGATGTACATAATATAATACATAGAAGCTCCGTGAAAACAAGAGTTAATCAAAGTGATGTCATTGTTGCTATATATGGTGTTAATCAATATACTCTAACGTTATCTGGCATTATATAATAAGTACACAAAATCAGTAACATGGTGCCACAAATTGAAACATTGTCTTTTAGTCCTTGTTCATAAAAGGAACGCCAGAGTCGCTAAAGGAAATATGCTCTTTAGCAAGAAATGGCATTTCAAGAGACAGCTGTTTAGATAGCAAAATCTAAGCAGAATTACTAAATGACAGACTCTTTAATTTACAAGGGGTAGTCCATACTCTCTCACACCCCTCCTTAATATGTACTCCGGATTTTGTTACGTTAAATCATAATCATTGATGAATATTTCATAAATAATTTATTTTTATTTTCACACGAGGTTCACTGACAATAGTAACCAAATGCTGAAAATATTCCCCTGAACGTGATAAATATACAGTATAATGACAATTTTCATTCGTATCAGCAGATTCATCAAATGAAACATTCTGGCGTCGACACGTCATCACAATTGTCATAGCATCTACCCTCGGAGTGGTGATCTGCGTCCAGTTTATATTCATATACTTCAGTCTGAGTCGCCAAAAAGAGAGCGAGCTTGAAAAGCCGAAAATGTGCGCAAAACACACAGCTGAGGTTCATTCTACAAAAGGAACCCTTGCGAAGGAAATTGAGGAGGAGATTGGGACTGCGCAGCGGCGGATGAAAAAGAACTGAAGCTAAAGTAGGTTCAGTAGGCCTAGCGCCTTCACGCTAATGATAAAAAGAACTTTATCACAGTAAATAAGAAGACTTTAGACACCATAAAAGATACAGTCCCGGACGAAATGATAGACAGGAAAGCTATATGCTTTATTCATGATAATCAAAACATTTTTCGACAGCTTGATTGATCTAGATTTCTGAAGAAAATTTCAGTAGCCTATTAAATAATCTGCACTGAATAACTAAGCAGAAACTAAATTTATTCAAATTTGAAACTCATTACTGGTGAATCTAATCCCAATCAAGAGCCTTTTTGCTCAAGAATGTTAATATGTCATCTATCATTGGTGCAATTGCATACATTTATGGTAGTCACCATATTCTAAGAAAGGCAAATTATGCCCTCTAGCTGATTTCCATCTCTGGGGATAAAAAGTTTAGCAGATTTATCAGGGACCTGAACGAGTTATTGCTCTTGAATGAATGAACAAATAAACTTCTAATGGTCGTCAGCAGTGGCGGCGCCAAGGGGTTTTTGGGCCCCCATTTTTTGTCAAAACATGGTCGAAATATTTCTTCTAGAAATGGTTTAAAAAGCGCTTGGTAATGATAGATAATATCTCCTAAGAATTAACCTGATACAAAGCACTGAAACGAGGCAAAAGAGGGGTGGTCTCACTGACAAATGATCAAAGGGCACGCCAATTACCCTCCCACTCTTCAGTAGCTTGAGCCGCCACTGGCTGTTAGACAATGCATAAAACAGTTTGAGTTTTATTGTATAGATTTGATAATGTCTTCTTTAGCCTACTAACTTTTCTTGATTTGAACACGGCAAAGACATAGTACCTGCTTAGATAAATTGTTGATAGGCAGAAATTTATTAAAGTCAAGTGTATCAATTATATAGGTCAATAACTGACAAGTTGCTTTTCAAACTGTTTTCTGTTTGTGTAGTTGTTCAAACGAAAGAAGTCAGTAAAAAGAATTTGGTGGCCATCTGGATCTTCTATATGTTTTCAATGAAGACAGCCAAAGAGTAACTGCGTTGAAATTTGCATCGACAGTGGTTCTAAAACTTAAGTTAAGACATTTCATCTGAGAGAACTTTTATCTGACTTAAATAAAGAAATCATTATAAGATGCGTTCCCTACTGGAATGAAGATTTTGCCAAGAAGTCGTTTTAAGTTTTTTCAAAATTAGATCGATTATGATAACTGGATGGATCAGGTCTCGCACAGAGAATTGACACTTTGGAAATTTGAACGTTATAGTGCCTTGAAGGGTCAAAATCTTTAAATAACAAAGAACTTCCAACCTCTTCGAAAAGGCAAATGACTATTTTGACGAGAGAATTTCTAATTGATCCTTGCTTCAACAGACAAATTAAAAACCCGAATTAGAAACCTTGAAAGCTCGGGTATACCAGTTTCTAGACCAATGCGTAGATGATAATTCGATAGCAAACGATTTTTCAAATAGAGAACAGCCTTCGTCCAGTTGCATTAAGTAAAATATGTGGATACATCGGAATAAAATCTTGCATCTGTCACAGCTTATTCATTTAGTGTGAAAGCAAAAGCCAACTTCAGCTCAGCAACTATGCATCAATTCTACATAATTTGGAGAGAGGATAAAGGTTCTCAAGCGATAAATTTTGATAGGATCAAGATTTACAACAAGGTCCAAAAGACAGAGATAAACGCTGATTAAGTTCCCTTGCAAAATCGAAAATTTACATAGACAAAACAAAATAAAAAAGCAACAGAAAACGAGAGATAAGGTTGCTAGAAAAAGATCTTTGATTTCTTATAATTGAAAACAGGATTTTTTAATTCTGGCAACACCTGATAACCTTTAAATGTTATTAAGGATATCAACGTCAAAAGAGATTGATGAAATTGTTTTGTTATGGGTTGCGTCACACTTATATGGATGGGTGTGTTATGTAGAATTTAGAAGATAGTCAGACACGTGCTCGTTAGCAATACATCGAGATAAGCTTAACATCCACTAAGCTATCATATTTGCAATACGTTTTCGAACTTCTTGAATAAAATGTCTGCTTTTGTCTAGACATCCCAAGATAAGGAAAGGAACGGGCTTTATAAATCTAAGTTATCTTCTACAAACAAATGTTCAACGGGTTGATAATTATGGTGGCACGTCGTACTTTTCGGTACTTTGCTAAGTCTCGCTAAGATAGAACAATAGCACTTATCGTCTATTATTTTGGTATGTTTTTACAACCGACGATGTCGTTGCTTTTCAGGCTACGTTCACACTACTCCGTATTCGTTTCGCTCCGTTTTCGTTGATGAAAACGATGTCCGTTCATACAATCCGTTTTCATATGAATACGCTGTGAATACGATATGTGTTCACACTACTCCAACAAAAACGCTGTTGGTGGCCTCATTTTTGGAAAGAGGCGTTCACGAATCCTCAACAAATTGGCGTCATTATAAATGAAATTAAATAAAAGTGAATCGTGAAAAACTTTGTTGTAACAGCTACCAGTCCATTGCAGATTCTCAATTTCAAAATTTTTGAGATTTGGTGTGCTACAAAGCACGTAATTTGTTGCCGATGTTAGCGTATTCAAATGTCTCCGTTTTTGGTGTTCACACTGAAAACGGAGCGTATTCAATACGCACAGTATTCGAAAGTATCCGTTTTCATTAGCGTTTTCAAACGACTCCGTTTTAATAGCAGAGTAGTGTGAACGCCAGGCAAAAACGGATTAGTTTGACTCCGTTTTCATTTGAAAACGGAGTAGTGTGAACGGGCCCTTAGACTCAACTCATGTTCTGTTTGTCTGGCTTCAAGATAGATATTGATGTATTTACAAAAGTTGTCTTAGTTACATTGTAATTATAAATAATAAGACAATGCTTTACGAATATCAATAGAAAGTAAATAAAGAAAAATGTATTCCAGATTACGTTGTCTATTCTGACGTGACAGTGCTCGATGTGCCAAAGCACAGAGCAATAGATATAATAAAATAGAATATAGACTAGAAATGAGACATGTTCTTTGTTACTCCGAGTTTCGTGCTTGCGCACTCATCAGACAGACTATAATGAAGAATATTTCTACTACCGCGGTATAAATATACAAAAGGTGTGATAAAGTCTATATTCTATTTTATTATAAAAAACGTATACATTTCTAAATCCATATTAAATGCATTTAGGTGTTGGCTTTGGGGAGGAAGGGGCCCATGCATTGGGTCTGTCCCTTGTCCCTTGGCCGCCCTTGGTGATCGCCGATAACCTTCTTTTTGATTATGCATGAATATCATATCTTGCAGAATACCAATTTTCTCAAACCCTAGCAATTCTGCTGTTTCATATATTAGCAGTTATTTGCCATTTCTGTAGCCTGCTTTCTACCCAACACCCTATTTCGTATACATTACCCTCCAAGAACAACTGGTTTTTCAGAAAGAGTGGTTTTTCGAAATCTGAAAAAATGCAAGATGCCGAAATTGACTAAGTTGTTTCTTTATTTCTAATTACTTTCATAAAATGAGGGAAAGAAAAGCACCCTCTTTACCCCCCAATCCAATCTCGGCTTGCACCCTTCGCTTTCTTCTGAATGGCATAATTAGAAAGCAAGGTCTGAACATATTCCCGAAAATCTCTGAACGCGAGCCTCAAAATTGATCAAAAGTTAAGAACAAGTAAAGAACAAAACAGCTTCCTCTGTCTTTGTTTTAACGTTGCAGTTTTTGTTCTTTCAACCGGGCATGGATGGCCGACAGGGTTGGTACTGATACAGGCAAACTGTTTACTTATTCAACTATTGAAGGTCAAATGAAAATGCATAGGCCTTCGATACATTTATCACTGATAAATTTGATATTTGAGTTTACTGGAACTGTCATTTCCCAAAAGCCCTAATGCTCTAAATACTTGGGTTCGTGTTATTTACATAAACACGTACGTAAGGGAACGTTCAAGAAGCTTTTCATTCTATTTAAGATAGTAAAGCGAGAATACTTACGGCAGCACTAGGAACTTGGCACTATCAGCTATGAGACTATCACCCATCATGAACAAAGCTTTTTCATTGAAACTTCCATTTACTTGATATCGAGAAACGAGCATGTTGGATTTTATAACTGAAGTTTTTCGTCGCGAACTGCTTAATGCTACCTGTACGTCGAAATACTTGAGCAAGTAAACCTGCACCAATGAGGCCATCGCATGTTTAGATTGGTAAGAATTAAGAGTCCCAGTGGAATACAATACATGCATTTGGCAAGTTACAATTCACTGGAGACTACAATTGCAAGTAAAGTGATTTCGACGCATTTCGAGTCTCAAGGCCCAAAAACAGACAGTAAAATTTCTCCCAAAACTCTAGCATATCTTTGAAGTTTTCAAAGCTTTATCTTGCTGAACCGTTTCAACGGATTTGGAAAAAGCGTACAGAAGGATGAAATTTGATATTATGTCATTTCATATGGACTCAATGCTATCAGTGTACTGGCTTTTCCTTCACATAGAATTGTTACCTACACTACATCTGAAATTATCGACTTCTTCCCCTTTTCAGGGGAATTTCTATTGCCTTCTCACAAACTGAAAGTTTGAAAAGAACATCGGACCAAATTCTTATTAAACAGAATAGTGAGAAAAGAACGTAGGCCATTGTCGCAAAAATAGATCAACATTGAGCGTAACTTAAAATTAACATTATATTTTAAATACAAGAGGTCTTTCATCTACAAAGGGCCGCTTAATATATAACTCTATGCGATTATATGCTTGATGCTCTATAGTACCATAACTCTATTTCATTTACAGGGGAGACGGATGCGGATGGAGGGGGGGGGATGGGGGGGGGTTGGAAGGTAGTGGTTGGGAAAATAATTCAAATGCATAGAAAATGCCTTTACTTGGGCCTTTTCAACTAGGAGCCCCTTGGAGCTCCCTTGATACTTTGAGCTTCAAGGGGCTCCTAGTTGTTTGCCACTGAGGAAAAAAGGCGCACATCTTTCTAAGGCGTAGATCATGCGCAAGTTAGAGGCACTCGTATCACGGCCTACCCTGCTCCCCGGATTTATTTTACAACTACCACTGCATAGAATCGAATTCTGATTTACAACAAAAAGTCATTAAGAGTACATTATTTTAACATGTTTATGGTAAAAATATTCATGAGATATTGCCGATTTAAGAAGAGGAATTTGTCACATCACCAAAACGAAAACAGGTGCCATTTGATAAATAGAATTCTACTCTCGACATCTTTTCCTTTCCCTCAGGGCATTTAAATGATGAAATTGTCCTCGGGTTAAATAACATTTCATATTGACTGTAACAATGAAAACAAACGTTGACTTCATATTTGGAAGCAAACCATCACAACCGCTCCAACCAATAAGAATATTTAAACTCTCTTTTGACGTCTTTGAAGATATTTTCGGAAGCATGGGCACACTTACATCTGTATATTTAGATGCGTAAATTGAAAGAGTAAACAGGTTTCTGAAACAAAACATGCTTTATTATCTATGGCTGTGAATAAACAAAGCATTTCGGAGGGTTGTAAGTGGTTGAATGAGAACTGGAATAAGCAGAAGGAAAAAACTGCTTTGTACAAGGACTATAAAGATATTACAATGTTACGAGTAATCTATTCTTGATTATCCTGCGAGGCTTTTCATTCCAATCAGTGTCAAAACCATCGAAAAGCACCTTTGATTCAGGGTCACGGCTATTTTTTTCAAAGGAAACTTTGTTTTAAAACTTGTAGTTTCTTACGTATGTCAGTGTTTCTAGATCCACTTGTTTAACTCCGCAGCTTGCAGTTTGTGAACAATGTTTTTAGCAGGCAAAATACGCACATTCTTCTACCAAGAACTCTTCTGTGTAGTTGTTTATTGTTTTACATGTGTTGAAAAATTATTATAATAATACAAAATATTAACAGAAAGAGTTTCTAAATTTCCAGTTGATGTTTGTCTCTTTAGAAGAGTCTTTTTTAACCAAAATCATTTGAATTTCTTGATAATGTTTTCGTATAAACCAAAAATGGGCATAATTTCGTCTTTGAGACGTTTGTGTGAGTAGCATCATGGTACGAAGCAAACGTGATATTTTTACACAATTTCCTCTAAAATCTCATCTTATAGGGGACAGAAAACGTCACGGCTTGGTCTCAAGAATGGAAATTGGGTGGAGAGAATTTTCTCCGGAAATAAATTCATAACGATGCTTTTTCCACACTCTCTAAATTTCATTTTATAGAATACTAGTTTCATAAAAATGTCTCACTTGGATATTCAGTGAAAGTCTACTTCAAATCTAGGTTCTTTTTTCTATCAACAGTCACATTACATAACAGTTTTCCATCTGATGGAAACAAGAGTACAATAAAGTATGCATATATAAAATTATATTTGTCCCTCAGACATTTTGATATTTTAAGAATATACACAGTTCTTCAAAAAAAATTTGCTTCTGAGCAACGCTTATTATCCAGAAAGGCCAGGAGCTTCCTGATTGACGTCATACCAAGCCAACACAATATTTTAGCATGAAAGATATTTAAGACGAAGATACGCCCTCCTCCGCATCGCCATTGACGTTTTGATGAAGTATTACACTGTCTTCCTCAAAAAGATACTTAGCTGATCTTGTCTTGCGTCTGAGGTCAGAAACAGCCAAATTCCTGCTTCGGTTGAAATTTGATTCGCGCTTTCTTTTGGAAATGCTTTTGCTTTCATTCGCCCCGAGCCTCCCATTGGCACTCGAGTTCTGATGACTCACGCGTGACTGTAACAAAGGTGATGCGTAATATGACGTCATCGTTTGCAACTCTAGATTTTTCCTGTTCAAAATAGTAAAGTTTTGCCGTGCTTTGCTGCCTCGTTTAAAAACGCTGACAAACCCCCTTTTGATGTCGTTATTCAAGGTCCCATACACCACAGGATTAAGGGCACTGTTTAGAATTTGCAAAAGGTTTGCAACTTGGAATATGTACATGTTATATGGTTGAGACTGTAGGTTCCCGTATGACATCCAGAAGAAGATGATATGCTGGGGCAACATACATATCACGTAGACTAACACTAGGGTTACGGACATGACAATCATGCGTTGTTGTTGTCGACGTCTTGCCTGAACACGAACTCGTTGGTGATTAACCGTGGGTAGCTTCAGCTTTTTTAGGTGCACAACGATCAATGCATGGGCAATTGTGAGTAAAAATACTGGTATAGCAAACTGCACGCAGAAGGCCAATATCCAATAAAAACAGTAAAGAAATTGCTTAGGCCATGCTTCTGTACAATATCCCTCCTGTATTCTCGCAACTGCAATCAGTGGGATTGTGAATACGAAAGACACAACCCATATACATAGCAGCGCGCGTTTTGTGCTCCTTCTTTCTAGTGACGCCATGGGATGTATGACAGCATAATACCGATCTCTGCTAATGGCTATCAATGTTCCGATGGAAGCATAGACGCTCAAAGGAACAATAAGGTAGGTGAGACGACACATGACTTCACCAAGCTTCCATTTCATGCTTGTTTCAAATAGATGCAACTGCGACGGTAGGTAGATAAACAGGACAAGAAGGTCCGAGAGGGCTAAATTCAATGTGAAGTTATGAATGCTTCGTCGTTTGTTGCCTTGGTACCGCTTGATGATGATATAGCAAACCTAGGAATAATACCATAAAAGAAATGAAATGAATTTATATCTTTATGGAGATGAATTGAAATGAATCATAGGAAGATGAATTCAGTTGATATCTCAAAGAGAGACGGATTAAATTCTTATCAATAGGAAGATATCATTGAATGCAATCATAAAGAAAGCATGCGAAATCAGGAATATGATATCATATATTAGAGTTTGATGAATTCAACTGAAACTGGTGTTAGATTTAAGTTGTAAACGAGCACACTTGAGCTGTAAAAAGATAATATAGATAAATGTAAAATAGAACCAGGGCAAATAAAGATGATTGATTGGCTAAAGTTAAAGGTAACAATGAAGAAAGATCGACAAAAGATGTATCCGATGAACGATTAGACAGCGAGTCACTGTGTTGCATGGAAAAGTAAACAGAAGCAAAAGGTGCATGGAAATGGTCGACAACAGAATTTTAAAATTGGTGTCTATAGAATGTGTACTAATCCAACGATTAATAGCCAGGCTATTGAGAAATTGCCTGTACTGTATCTCTATCTGGAGCCATCACTTACATATGGGGTTCAATTCTTGACAGTAAGATTATGCTAACGTCTTTCACACTACTTAACTTGTGATGTTTGGAAATATAATAGTTTGTGTTAATCAATATCCGAATCATGAAGTAAACTTAGCAATTAGGCTACAAATCTAACCCCTTAATGCTTCCACTGGCAGGGTAGGTCCAAGGGGCTGCAAAATCGTATCTTTATTGGCAGACTTCATTGCATCTTTAAATCTACTCCCTATTGAAAAATGTAGTATTCGAACCAATACTTTGCAGAATGAGTACTCGCTTCCCACCCTCTTTGTAACTGTTAACACCTATTAAATTGCTTGAGCTTTGCATTTACATAAAGCAAGAAGTTGACAAAATGAACGAAAGCCAAACTTTTCTCTTACCATGATATTTCCAATGACCCCAGTGATGAATATCATAACGTAGATTATTCTTGTAGCAATCTTGAGAGAAGCTGGTGTAATTGGATACATCTGAATTAATCCTGAATTATTGGTGCTCGTGTTTGTCATATTCAAAGGCTGATAAGTTGAAATATTCAGAGACATGTCTGGATTCTGAATGAAGACAACCAAGCAATGATACAGTGTTTTCCTAAAAGAGACAAAGATTCAGATCAATTGCATTCTCAATACCACTCTGTATTGTTTTCCTTCCAATCTTTGAGTAGTATTTCATTAGAGCTACATCTTACCTTAAGAGACAAACTGCAGGATATGTCTTTTCTGTGCAAATAGCACAGAAAAGCGGAAACATGTCAAAAAGTACTTTTCGTCCGACCTATGTCAGAGTATCGAGTGACGGACGAGAAGTCCTTGGTATGACCAGTTTCCGTTCGTCCGTGCTATTTTCAAATGCGACTTCAAACGACAGAGAATCAAGCTCTGTTTATTATTTTCATTATTTTTTTGCAATCTTTTTCTTATTCTCTTTTAGAGATTTACTACGGGAGCCCCTCGTTATTTTTAAAACAACTACACTTATTTCTTAGGAAGATATCTTTGTTACTCTGGCTAAAAATAAAGACGGGATATTTGTTTTATGCATCACAACCCAGTGATGAAATGAGTGACGGCAGACCGAGATACAATACAATAAGGTTTGTTCGTTTGATCATGTTGCCTCGTTCTCTTAAAATAGGCTTGGGAACAACGTCAAAGAGTTCGCGCTGTATCGAGAAAAGCAACTCGTGTAATAGCTTTCAAACATAGTTAAAGCGATTTAGTTTTAGCAATAGCTTTATGAAGGAACAAAAACCTTGCAGTAAACATCAAAAGTAAATTTACGCATCCTTCTTTTGCTGATTCAAAGCTAACACCCACAGTCTGTTTACTTTTTGTGATTAGAAATTCAGCCATGAAAAACAATACATTTCATACCGAGCTACTACTGTGTCTACTGGGCAGAACCGTGCTGAGCAAATGGAATACTAGAATACTTCGCATGGACAAGAGTAACCATAGCAATAGCCTCGGAGTTGAATCGTCATTCCATTATCGCAGGACAATAACCTCATTCCCGTGAAATATTTCAAAGCGAGCAGACAATTCGTCGGCATGCTTTTGGCGTAACGATTTCTGTTAAATTTAATGATTCTTCGTACCCAAGTCCGATCAATAATAATTTGTTGAGGGAGCTAACGATAGGCCTATTTCTTATAATTAAACTAAATATTTGAAGAGGAATAGCTTGGCATACTGTTCAGAAGTCTGACCTGAAAGTGAGAAGATTTCTTAAAAGATTAAAACATTGGCTAGATGAAAGATGATGTTTTAGGCAGGCGCGCAGAGCATTGTCATATTAAATTACTTTGCTACGGTACACAGTTTTCTTTCATTTAGCAATTAAGCTACTTTGTATCTTCTGATCCCATTTTATAAACGGAATGATCTATGCTAAATCCAAAGACTACCGTTTTCATCATAATTTGGTTTTATTTGATCCATTCTTTAAAGAATTTTGCAGTTACAAAATCTTCCTGGAAGATAACAAGATATGTTAATGGAGTCATCTTAGCAGACATCAAAAGTCTAACACTACTAACACTAGACAGGGAGATAAACGGTTTGATTCGCTTCACTTCGAGTCTACATTGCCATATTCTTATTAACATCATTTTTTGTCAGTATTTGGCTAAACTTTCATGCTTAATTAGCTGCCTTGTGAAAGTCACACTCTTCCCTAATAAGAAACTTCTGTAGAAATTTGCGATCTATTTCTACTGCTAGATTTCCCTCCGTTCTGAAACGCCTTTCGAAAAACGAATCAATAGTTTCCTAAACCTGTCTTACTGATATGAATTTCAAGATAGCTTAACAAAAGTCATGTTGACAGAATTTCTGCTCAATCTTAAAAATGCCGCGGCTGATAATACATAAACTGAACTGTTTGCATGAAGCTAAGTCATTACTCAGAATTTGGAACCTGAGACAATAGAATATCTTCTTTGTCTTGGAAAGGCAATCTTTGTTGTATATGGAAATGGTTAAGCCGTTGCTACCTTTATATTTCTCTAGAACCTGTATTTCTATGTCAAGGAAACATATAATTTCTTTCCTATGAAAGTATGCCTATAGATTCTAATACAAGTACAGTGACCTTCTTTGTAGGCGTTAAAAACTCCTGTGCGTGAGCAGTGATGACATAAACACTAAAGCATTTGAGCATTTTCTTCCTTTACATTTTCTAGCTCTTAACTTTCTCACCAGCTGCTATTATCTCAAGGTTTCATTGTTATTTTCTCAACTGATCTTTGTATTGCTCAAATCATCAATTATAATACAAAAATGGTAACGTGAGGCAATAGACCAATAAAGATTTTATCTTAACTCGATAAAGTTTATTGATATGGTCACCTCATTGATTCCAGCTACAGCCTGTCGAGCCTGCATTCACTTGAAGGCATTCGAGATGTAGTAGCACTTTAAGGTTGGAGCACCCTTTTAGAAAGTGCCAAAGAGCGTTCCTCTTGCATAGCATTACCTACCTCTTCATACGTCTATGGTATGCTCAACTATCGCTACATTTCCCTGAATTAAGTTTGATTTATCGGGGTGAGAAAAGGCAGGTAAAAACGAGTTTCTAGAATCATGGTATAACTGACTTCAATTCTATTCATTTTTCTTGGATATCAATTCAGTTCATTACTTTTATGGTATTATTCCAAGGTTTGCTATATCATCATCAAGCAGTACAAAGGCAACAGACGACTAAGCATTCATAACTTCACATTGAATTTAGACCTCTTCAGGGTAAACATTCCATTTTTTCATGAGAAACATCTTACGAAATCTTTGGTGCATTTATTGATGACAACTTCAAGACCTTTCATGAATTGTCACTTCTTGACATCGTATTATTTACAAATGTACGATGTCAACATCATATCTAAAGAGACATCTATTTCATTTTCAAGATTAACATAGATAATGAAAATTGAAATTTAATCAATAACTAGAGATAAAAAAGTGCCAGACGGTACATTTTCCGCTACCAGTGTTATGTCGATTGAATGCAAAAATAATTCTAGCCAAGCGAAAAACAAATTGCAATTAACTGAAGAAAAATATAACTTTAAAGCAAATTTTGTTGAACCTCTAAAAAGAATACAGTCTCTTTTTCGTCAAGCTATGTTTTCTTTCGAACTAAATTACTTTGAATTAAATATTTACCCTCAAGTGAATGAGATGGAAAGGCGGTTTTGTTAATCATACTTTAGAACAGTGTGTCTTCGCCGCTAACAATGTAACATTGGCTGTAACGAAAAAGCTTAGAGAGAAAAATCGAAGCCACAGGCAGCGTTATGAACAGAGCTACACTCTTCGATGAAGCCCACAGAGCAGTACAGATTCTAAAGACACAGTCTATTTATCATAAATGCGAGAAATTTGAACTGTTACTTTTTATTAAGCTATAGCCATGCATGCAAATGAATGCAAAGCTGAAAGCGAACTTTTTTTACAAAGAAACTCTAGGCATGCTAATTGTTGTGTAGGATATGAAGTATTCCGCAACAGAACAATGGTTTAACACGAACAATTTGACATATTCTACACCATTGCTAAGCAGATCAAAAAAGCTCTTTCAGTATTGATGCTCATAAGACACTTTGAAGAAGAAGGTGCTATACGATGAAAAATAAGTTCGTTTGAACGAGCAAAATTATATCTCTGAAACATATGACTGTTACAGCAAAAAAACAGTAAACGTTTTCATCAATCACATGCATTAAAGAAAGCCCAGCTGATTTTAAATCAAAACTGTGAAAGGTTATCAGAATGGGATCTTAATTCCAGACAAATTACATGATTATTCACAGCTTCATGCAATCATCTTAAAATCGTAGAAAGATTCTCATCAGTGCGCTCTCTTCGTTGATACGAGTAGGAAAAAGCCAAGTGACAAATAATTTACGATGGACTAAGTCTTTGATGGCAATTTCACTGAGGAAACTGCGGCGATAAATCAATTAAACTATATCAAAAACAAACTGGTTCTACACTAAACAAAAATACAATGATAAACACAAAGTCGTGCGGAGAAACTCCCATAAATACGAAATAAAAAAAACTAACCTCTGATTCAAGGAAACGAGCAGCTATTTTTGCTAATGTGAAGTATTCCTTTGAACAGGTTTTCACTCTGTTGCAAGCGCTTGTCAAATAACAGCTCACCAAAATTGAGTCGCACCTGTAGGCAAGAGCCTCAGAAACATCTGATAGGAGCTTCTGGTGAACAAAGCGCTCAGAATATAACAAACAAAGGCGCCGAACAGTAAGTGGGATGACAAGAAAGCACCTATTTAAGGCAAATTTGTACCTCACGCAGAATTATCTCTTGTTTACAGGCACCAATGAGTTTATCTGGTACTTTAGGTGCTAAATTGATAAACATTGTTGTTAGGATGTGCACGCAGTTTTTATCTTATCAGAACATGCTCATGACAGCCTATTTATCGTCATTTCTCTGTATTTTACACACGTGTAAGGGCTGAAGAGAAACTGTGGATACGAAGAACTAATTGAAAAGTATAGAAATGAAGATGACTACTGCAATAATATTTCTTGTGATAATGAAATAATGTTGATGATATTGATAAAGATGATTATTGTCATAGAGACATTTTCGCTCAAACAGTGATTGAAATGATGATATACATGCTTTCAAACTTGCATAGTTTTGAAGAATATTTCAAGATATGAAAAAACCATGCCTGCCAAATATCTTGGTACGCTCCACTAAATTTCTGAATATTTTCTACTGTACCCCTTTCTCCCCCTTTGAAACAATGTTGGTTTATGCAAAGCTAAGAGGCTCGGTGTGGTGCAATCGGTTCTTTCTGATAACTATGATATTTACCTCAACAAACAACATTGTTCTGGGGGAGAGGAGGTGGTATCGCTCTATCCTAATGGAACCAGTTGAACAAATGGGTGTTCCGAGGATTTTTGACAAGGTTTGTAGCCAGGAGCGGCGCCACGGGGGGGGACTGGGGGGGACACGTCGGGTAATATTTTGTGATGTAATCCTATGATTTTCAAACTGCCAATTTTCAAACAAAAGTTTGTCACAGGCGTTCCCTTCGGATATAATTG